CGATCATCTGGAAGCACCAAAAAAACTGCCTGGATGAGGAAGCCAGAGATCTTTTGGATATAATACTCCAAGTTCTCACCCCATGAAAGGAAAAACTTGCCAACAATTTTTTACGGGTCAGTTCAGTGGACCAGCTTTTTGATCACAGAATCCTGCACATATAAATAGACACCAGAGAAAAGGGAGAAATCTGTTGTGTTGTGTCCTTCAGGGTATCTACTGGGCAAATACAAGGCTCAGGCAACTCAGTAAACCCCTCTCTAGTGTCTGTCCCCACATGCGCTGGGTTTCTCTTTATCAGTAGCTTAATGATCCTTTAGGCTTTGGCAAACTCCAATGGCTGCTACTGCAGGGTGCATAGCATCCACCACCAGGACAAATGAAGCTTTTAACAGCATCTCTAGTGTCTTGTCAGCCAGGTCCTTGAAGACCTGGACATTATCCACCAGGCAAATCAAATTCTTATTGAGACAGGATACTGACGCATCCAATGTGGGCAGGGCATACTCCACTTTTTAAGAACTTATCCTTGATTGAATAGAGAAGAAAAAAAATCTTTTATTGTGGCGCAAACACCCTATCTGGTTGATCCCACTAAGCATGCATCATCTCCCCTAAGAGAGCAAGCTCCATAAATGGCAACTTTTACTCAGTGAGAGCCATGGAGAGGAGATAGGAGAAGGGAATGCCCCTGCATAGGTCATTTCACCCAGTTGATTTGATCCCAGAGTTTATACTCTAATCCTACTTCATTAAATAAACTGAAGTAGAAGTAGCCACCTCAGCTGATAAGGGAATGGGTTCAACCCAACCTGAAACTCTTGGACCTGTAATGGAAATTGTACCAGAGCGACTGCATCTAGTGTTTCCTAACCTGATAGAGGCATACGTGCTCCCACCCCTCCACCATTTAAAAGCTAAATGGCATGCTGAAACCAATGAGTTCATATTCCCATCCCACACCTTCCTGAAATGAGCTCTCAAAGGTACCAGGTCCTGCAGTGACCACCAGCTGGATACAGGAGCAAGCACAACACACTGTAAATATTTACCGGCTCTGTGGTGTGCAGGCGAATATTTACACTGAGTCTGAAACCTATAAGATGCCCATGTGCATGAAAACCTGCAGTCCTATATCAACTGAGGGGACCCTGCTTATACGTTTACAGTGCCCTGGATACTCCAGGAGATTCTCAAAGCTGCCAGTGCACCCTCCTAATTGGTGTACTCAATCAGCCTGTGCACATGTCTCCACAAAGGCTGAAAAAACCTGCCCCTGTGCCTCTCAGTGTAATAGTTCTTCTTTTATATTGCTGTATTGTACCTGTGTGTGTGCACAGCTCAGGGACACTCACCATAAGCGCTTCAAACAAAATCGGACGTTGACAACAGGAAACAAATGCCCCAGATAGGAAAAAAGAGACCCGCTTTGAGCCTTGCCCTCTTCACTGTGCCAGCAGCAACAAAGAACCTGCATTCACGTGGGCATATCTTCTCACCTGCTAATATGAGCCTAAGATAGCCACTGTGAGGCACACATGCAAGCAACCATGGTGGACCAGAAGTGACATTGCACTGTCAAATGCCACTGTGAGGAGTTTTTCAGATTAACAACAGCTAAAACTAGGTCTCTTGGTGACTTTTTGAGGCATTTGCCTCTTTCTCAGGCCAAAGAGACCAGTGGGACTGAGCTTGTCAATTAAAGGCTGTAGGGGGGGGGGGGCTTCACCTACGTTCCACCAGTGTTCCTTCACCTATAGTGGTGCATAACCCAAGTAATCATGATATAGTAATATCATGATAAATATATTATAACCTGCTGTGTGTCACATGATGTATAATAAAGAAGCAAATTAAGACTCTGTGAGGTAAGACTAAATTGCTGTGTTTTAATATGATTGTGTAAAATATTAGAAAATGTTTTAATAAAGATGCATATATATCTGCGTGTGAAGAGACACACCATTAAAATGCACTAAAGCAAAAGTGATATTTCGAAAGAAAAAAATGCCACTGAATGACATTTTCCCTACTGGCCTGGTTATGACCATATTTGACTTGAGCAGTCATTGTCTTTTGTAACCTTTGTGTTTGTGGGAAATCATTCATCATGATTGATTATGAATTTACATTACTGGACAACATGACTAAAGATACATCTGCACTCTGGAACTTTTTTTTTTTTTTTTTATTAAAGCGTTTTGTCACTAAGTGGGGAGAAAGTGCCTTGCTTGGGAAAGGCTTTATAAGGGTCTGGTATTGCATCATGGCATGTGGGACTGATTACCTGATTGCCTCTACCTGTTACTTCTCTTAGACACTTTATGATAACTATTTGTTTTTTTATGTTTAATTTACACATTTATTATGTTTTCATTATATCAATTTGTGAAGGTCGGAATTGGTTCCTTTAGGGTATTGATGATAATCAATACCACACTTTTTAGAAAGAATGTGGTTTATATTATATTATAAGCACAGCACTGTTGTTATATATTTTTAAGGGTCTGGTATTGGGTTGGAGGAAGACCCCAGGTAAAACAAGCAAACAAAAAAGTACTCCTCCTAAAATCTATACCAGACCCTTATCCTAGATATAGGTCTAATATAGAATGTTAAGGAGGACAAGAAAAGGCATAGACACCCTAAAATCTATACTAGGCCCTTATCCAGTCATGAAGCTTGGCTGGCCAGAAAAGGAAGGGACAGACAGAATGCTACGCCCAAACCTTTAAAATAACGGGGGCCCCAGATAGCCATCCTTCATGAATACCCACATTGCATCCCTAGGTACCCATTTACAGGAAAAATGTCAATAAATATAATCACAACATAACAAAGTCGTATATTTATTAAAATCTTATTTGGTCAATTACATCACCAAGGGTACCCACTATTTTGTTTACTATGTGAAGCAAGCCAGCAGGTGGGCCTGGGAGTCATTCATTTTAGTGGTGGTAGTGATACCTTCACTAAATAAAATTAGCTGCAGTAACAGCCAGAGGCTCATGTAGGCAAACAGGACAAATTTGACCATTTGTTTTACTTATTTGGTGAACAGTGAACAGTTAGAATTCTGGTCATACTCGCCATTGACCCAAACCTACAGCTCATCCCTAATTTCAACTTAAGTTATGAACTTATGTCCACAGAGTAAAGCAAAAAAAGTTCATTATGTCTTACAAATCTTGCACCTGAAAAAATATATAGTAAATACCCTAGTATAATTGAAATTTACTTTTATTTTTTATATATATCATTATGGGAAAATTTAGATTGAAACAATTTAAAACACTTGCTGGGCTGTTTAGGATTTGCATTATGCTGCAAAAAGACCTCACTAATTCAAACATTTCAGGCCAACAAGAAAAGTGTAGGGAATGTTTTGCTGTCCTTTCATCGTCAGATGTTTCTATCAGGATAAGGCCAAGGAGAGATCAAGAAGAAACTAAATACAGTGTCCTTCATTGCAGGGAAGGATGCAATGAATCAAACTTTCCACTCACTAAGTGTCATATTAGACAGGTTTGCATCTGTGTTCTTAGGTGGCTCCCTAGCCAGACCATTTCAGGACTCAATATTTGCTTGTGGCTTTTGTATCATATAATGGTTATTAGTGACCTTCACATTATGTAAAAAATTAATTTCAGGTTTCGATTGCCTCGATGTATCACTCCACATAATATCCTTAAAGCAACTCCAGCCAAAATTCCTTAATTCATTTTAGATAAATTTGAAATGGTTAGAGCTTCTGACAATGTTTTAATGCTGTCTGCGTTTCTGTCCAGGAGATTTAGGGCTCATGTACACAGGACGTTTGAAAAACTTTTCTGAAAACTGGAAACTGACTTCTAGAAAAGGTAAGTTAAAAACATCAGTTTAGCCATGTTTACCTACCGTGTTTATGCGCGTTTAGCCACATTTATGGGTGTTTGCGTTTTAGAAACGTTTTTAAAAGATAACCTCAGGAGACCCTCCCAAATGCCCAGAATGCACTGAAAAATAGTAAATAATTAACTATTTCAGACATTTTGTGAGAAATAGAGAGAGCACTACTTTCTGATGGGTGTTGCAACTGTAGCAAAAGTGGCTCATGAAACATGCTTGACACTGTGGGAGGAGCTACATAGTGCTGTAATGCTTCCAGATGCATTCTAGAGTGAACACAACACTCCTGCTTTTTTGCTGTGTTTTGATGTGTTCCAGTACGGATCTGTGCAGAAATAATGCAGCATGTTCTACCCATTTTCCTGCACACTAATTCTGGAACTGACTGCACTGGTGTACTAGGTCCATTTGAATACATGGAAAATGCTGTGCATGCATTTTTTATGAAGAAAAAAGGTACTGGACAGCATCTAGATATGGACCAGCCCAAAAAAATGCATGTAAGTGCAAATGCGCATAAATGCGTTTACATGCGGTTACCAGCATTTGGCTTTTGAAACGCCAGTAAACTCTACTCCTGAATGTGATTTTTGTGCTTTCAAAAAAATGCATGTAACCTCAACTACCTGTAAACTACTGTAAACAACTGTGTACATGGACACATAGGAAAAAATAAAGGAGAGTTCAGGGGCTGCTGAAAAAAAAAGCACAACTGCTCCTAAACTTCAGTTTAGCAGCTGCAGTGTACATGAGCCCTAAGGCCCCATGTACACGGGACACTTCAGAATGATGGAAACTGACTGCTGGAAAATGTAGGTTAAAAAATGTCTGCTTAGCCGTGTTTGCATAATGCGTTTATGCGCGTTTATGTGCGTTTGCGTTTAGAAGCATTTTTTAAAGATAAGCACAGGAGAACCTCCCAGATGCACTGAAAAGTGGTACATTTTTAACTATTTCAGACTGTTTCAGAGAAATACTGACAGTAGAAGCAGAGTGAGCAGTATGTGTTGAGATTAGCTTAGGTGTGAGTTGCTCATTAACATTTCTTTTGTTTCCAAGGGTGGGAAGGTGTCTGGTGGAGTGAGTCATTAAGGTCACCTGGCAGGGGGTCTTCATGAGGAATTTGAGGTGTGAATAGGCATTAACATATTTTTTGTTTCCAAGGGTGGGAGAGGTCTGAGGTGTGAATTGGTCATTACAATGTGTGACAAGTTTGGTAGGAACATCCTGTGGTCAGTGTTTTGTCCATCTGAGTACCTTGAAAACGCTTTGCATGCATTTTTCATGATGAAAAAAGGCTCTGGACAGCATCGGGAACTGGAAGAATTAAAAAAAAAAAATTCAGATGCAAATGCTTATAAACGCAATTTGCCGCGTTTAGCAGCATTTGCAAGCATTTTGCATTTGAAACACTGATAAAATCGACTGCTGAATGCAATTTTTGTGCATTAAATAACTGTAAACTCGAATGCATGTAAACAAAGATGTGTACATGGACACATAGGAAAACATTAGGGTGAGCTCAGGGGCTGCTGAAAAAAAATGCTGAACAGCTCCTAAACGTGAGTTTATCAGCTGCAGTGTTCATGAGCCCTAACTTTCACTTCCTGACAGGGCAGTTAAGTATGATGAATCTATCCAATGAAGACACGGACAGAAACAAAAAGCACATTTTTAGTAAACCGAAAAAGGTTTAGACATCTACAGTGATTATTGTGTTTCAGATTAAAGATTTTGTGATGACTTTGTTAATAAAAAATAGTTTTAGTATATTCTGAAGAAGCATGATAGGGTTTAGTAACATGTTAGCAAAATGTTATGAGTTAACTTGCTACATCTCTATGAGGGATGTCTGTATATTAGTTCCATAGCAACCAAGTACGTTTGTGGTACTCTTTTTTTCTGCAGCAAGAAATGTTTTTGAAGTAAACCAACCTAAAATAATCTTGGAAACAGTGTTAATGCAAAGTGTCCATATTATACAATGGAATAAAACAATAATGCTGAGACATGCTACAACAAACAAATGTTTAAACCCTGATTCTTTCAAAGCCACACACAGAATGGATAGCAGTGCTGTAAATTAGTTTATACTTATTGTACAAGTGTCCCTACATCTTCACTGTTAAGTACACGTTTTTCTTATTTTCTAATTACAGAATGAATCCAACCAGACAATATATTTCAGTCATAACTGGAAGATAGTGGACTGAACTAACCGCCTAGTCTCATATATACTTTGAAGACTTGAAAGGTGGATTACTTCAAAGCTTTTGCCAGGCTAATTATCTAGTTAAATCATCGTAATAATCTAAATTGAGTTGTCATGGTAATTTTAGCAGCAGATCAATGACTCTATTGGACCCAGGTGCATAAGCATTTCAACTGGGATACGTAACAAAAATATTCAAACAAACCGTATTGCGCTACCTCAATGTGTTAAAAAATATCCTATCCCTTTAAGGTCAAAATATCATGTCATAAAAGCAGTTCATGAAAAACAATAATGTTCAATATGTGTATCAAATATTTAACATTTGTGAAACCGCAAATCCAAAAAATGTAAATAAAGCCTCACAGACTGAATAAATAATCACACAAAATAATGCCCCATTGACGTGAAATCACGTAGGTCTTTTATGTTGTAAGAATAAATCCAGTATGCCTCCACCAAAGAAGTAATAAGGTTACTTACCGGACTCCCATACCCCAATACCATGAAGGTCTAGGCAAGCTCAGTGTTCCTTAGCCAGCTCCAGGTGGACAAATGTAGCCTATTATGCAGTCAATACTTTCTTAGACAATAGTTTCCAGTGTCAACAGAATTGGTAGCACTCAATGAAGAAAGTGCATGAAAGAATCCATTGAGTAGCAAACTTTGTGCCTCCTTTATTTTAAAAGCAGGGTTAAACTACTCATAAGACAGCGTATATATACAGGCTTTAAAACACCAACATTCTGCTTGCTTTGGTGGATGTGATGGCATTCCTCAGAGTCTAGCGTTGATGCCATCACATCCACTGGAGCGGACAGGGGAGTCCAGTATGCAGCCTTATTACTTGTGGTGAAGGCACGCTGGATTTATTCTTACAACACAGAAGATGTACATGATTGCATCTATGGGACTGTATTTTGTGTGATTATTTATTCCCCTGTAGGACTTTATTTACATTTGTTGGATTTTCTGTTTCACAATTTTAAGTATTTGATTTACGTATGGAATTTTTTTTTCGTGAACAATTTTTATGGCGTGATAATTTGATCTTAAAGGGATAGGATCTTTTTTAACACCTTGAGGTAGCACAACATGGTTTGCTTTATTATTTACATTGCTACATTGATATCTGGGTATTGGTGAGTGCAGCTGTCTCTTTTTATGTGATTGAGAGTTTTTTTTTTGCACTTTAGTGCATTTTTTTGGTTTTGCATAACTCTCCAGACTCCGCTATGTCTCAGTTTTGGTTGGTTGGGTGTTTAATGAACCCATAAATAGTAGCTTCTTAAGGTCCAATACCTGTGATGTTGGCAGTATCAAACAAAAAAGGTTGTGTATTTTGAACAGCAGGCCAAAGCGGACATATACAGTATTTGGAGAAAAACATAGAAACACTACATGATTTGCAGGTGCAAAAGCGTTGACATGTTTCACATTGAAAGCAGAAGTGATGAAGCATTCTTTTGCTTCCACTGTGGGATGAAACATTTAGCTAACAGATGGGAAGCCTCATTTTCATCATTCACTGCATGCGTTGCTAGTAATACAGAGTCATGTCAGAGATTACTGAGCTTCAAATAGGGCAAATTGTTTGTACCCCCTTAGCAGGTGCCTCTGTGAGTGTAGTTCTCAATTTATTTGCCATGTCACGAGGTACAGTATCAAAGGTTGTGACGGCTTATACCATTTTTGGGAAAACAATGTTTGATAAGCATAAGCGCGATCCACATAGTCTTCTAACATGGTGTGATGGAGTGAATGACAGGAATGATATATATATATACCTTATTTTCTGGGTGGCTCTGGATCCTGAATGAATAATCAAGTGCAGTTAGATCTTTTTTTCTTAGTAAAGAGGTCAGATTGGTCTGGTGAGTGATTTAACTTATTTAGCACTGGGTGTTGCACGCATGTGATGGAGAAATTGAAGCATCTAGCAAGTCTTCACACTTATGGAGAAACTGTTTTATTGACTTATTACACTGACTTTTTTACTTTTTATTATATTTTTAAAAATATTTTGCACTTTATTGTTAACCACTTGCCCTCCTGAGGATTTAGCCCCCTTCCTGACCAGGCCATTTTTTGTGTTACAGAGCTGAGTTACTTAACTGATAATTGCACGGTCATGCAATGCTGCACCCAAATGAAATTTACATCCTTTTTTTCCCCATGAATACAGGTTTTTTTTCAGTGGTATTTGATCGCATGTCTTTTTTTAAATTTTTTGCGCTATTAAAAAAAAAGCCGTACAATTGTGAGAAAAAAAACTATATTTTTGACTTTTTGCTATTAAACATGTCCAGTAAAAAAATTTTTTAGGCCAAAGTCTATTCTGCTACATTTCTTTGCTAGAACAAAAATCCCAAAGCGTGTAAATTAATTGGTTTACGTGAACGTTCTAGCATTTACAAATGGAAGTATATATACTAGAAATTTTTACTAGTAATGGCAGTGATCAGCGATTTATAGTGGGACTGCGGTGGGCATTCTGACACTGGGGGGAACTGACTTGGTGTCATTGACATCCCCAGTGACACCAATACAGTGATCAGTGCTAAAAAAAAAAGCACTGACACTGTGCTAATGGCACTGGGAAGGAAGGAGTTAACACGAAGGGTGATCAAAGTGTTAACTGTGTGCTGGGAGTGTTTTACTGGGAGGCCGTGTCAGTGTGCTTCACTGTAAGCACACTGCTCTGGATGGCTGTGCAGTGTGTCCGAGCCCACAGGGAGGAGGACTGTTATTAAACAAAGCAGCCCTCCTCCCCATTGGAGATCCTCGGCACTCACCGGGGAATCATAGGCCGGGACTCTGTGACTGATAGCTGCAACAGCAAATGGCGGCGCAGGTAGGGCGTGCGCAAGGATTGCACATGCCCCCTACCCAGAAATGCAAAATCACGTGTATATATACGTGATTTTGCGCACCCCTGCTTCCCTGTAGCCGTATATCTGCTATAGGGTGGTGGTGAAGCGGTAAATGTATGATTATTATTATTTTGAAGTGTATATGACACTAAAATATTTGTTTAGTAGTACAATATAGCAAAACGTTTAGATGATAGCGCTTTTATATAGCACCCTCTATTGAGGTCCAGGAAAAAGACATCTGATAAGCGTAGGGGCAGTTGACATTGTCAACTAACTGAAAGAGACAAAAAGAAATTCATGCTCAGAAGAGGAGAGAATGGTGCAACACCCATAAATAGTGGACTATCGATCAATGGAAGACTGGTTTATGGTCCAATGAAATGAGCTTCACACTTCACCCCATCATCACCTTGAAAGGTATAGTCTCTGCCAGCAACTGTACAAATTTTGGCCAACAATGTGCACCTCATGGTGCAGACATTTTTTTGCCGAAAATACCATCATTTACCAAAACCATAATGCTCTGATTCGCACAGCTGGTGTTGTCAAATCATGGTTTGACCAGCATACAAAGTCTTGCACCTTCCCTGAGCTCAGCATTCACCAGACCCCAATATCATAGAGCTACTATGGTCAATGTTGGAGAACAAGGTTCAGGTTTGTTTTCCACTTCTGACATCTCTGCGAGAACTGGAATATTGTTTGCATAAAGAGTCCATTATCCACCATCCAAGACTTATATTTGTCAATTCCCAGGAGAATTCAGGCTGTCTTTGATCCCAAAGGATGTCCAATACCATATTAAGTAATGATCTTGTTCTTTTACCTAGTGTTTCCATAATTTTGTCCAACCCTTATACCTGCCACCACTATACGAATCGTAGCTTATGCTTAGAAAAAGCAAGCATGTTCTGCCTTCCCTCATGGCTTATGTTTGCCATTTTAACTGAGAATCCAATAAGAAGAGAATACCAATAATTTGTAAAAAGTTGATCACTAATACTGCCAATATAACATTGTCATAATAGATTTTAGAAATCGCATTACATGAAATCTTACTTTGGAACACCCCACTAAGCTTGTTAGCTGTTCAGCCTATAAGCATGTAACCAGTGAGTGGACGATTATCTTTAAAAGATACATATCATTAACTTTCAGTAGTTCTTTATTTGGGGTGCTGGTCAGGGTGGGCCATGGGTAGGTTATGTCACAAATTTTGGTGTGTCTCCTCTTTTAACATCTCAAGTCTTTTGCACTCTTTTTTGTTTGTGAGTTTAACTAGTTATTTCTCTATTGTGGAGCCTGATCTGTTCTGCATTGGCTACAGCTTCTGACATGTATTTATATTTCTGTATTGGGTT